TGAGGGGATGCGGAAGGTGTCGCCTAGGGCGCGGAGGATGTGGGCCTGGGACTGGGACTGGGACTGGGATCCATGGCCGCTTTGGGATTGTCGGGTATTACTATCAGGTGGGGGCGGGGAGAGGGTGGGAGGGGGGATGTAGCGGGTATGGGAGGTTGTGGAGGGCCGGGCGAGTCTGTAGTAATGTGAATAGGGACGTTGGGGCTGGGGATGGGGATGGGGATGGGGGGGAGTTGGGGTTGGGGCTGGTCGTTCGCGGACGGCGGGGACTTTGATGATCTGTTCCGTTTCGAATGTGCGCGCGTCTACGACGTGCAGGAGGGAGGTGTGCTACTGGTACGTCAGCACGGTACGCAGCGAGTTAAGATAGAAGATTGGCTTACCTCGGTAAAAACCATCAATTCCTTATCACCCGCCCCCCCAAACTTCACATTCCGCACACTCCACCCGGGCGCTCTAAAGCTCCCCCCCGCCCAATCAAATATCTCATCCACCAACCACCCACTCGCCCCCCCATTCCCACCCCCACCCCCATTCCCACCCCCATTCCCATTCCCTCCCCCTCCCCCTCCCCCGGGCATCCTTGTCTTCTCAGTCTGGAACACCTTCATCGGCTTCGAGCTCCGCACGTCCCACACCGCCACCAACCCCTCTTGGGACGCGACGGCGAACTTTGACCCGTCAGAGGAGAAGGACGTGGAGAATGAGGCGGTGAGGGAGGAGGGGGTGTATGAGATGGAGGAGGAGGAGGAGGAGGAGGGGGAGGGGGGTGGGAGTTTGAGTGTGGCGATTGGGGAGAAGGTTATGCGGGCGCCGCCTGTCATCCGATGGAGGTACACCTTGGCGGAATCGCCGACCGATAGGAGTGTCCGTCCGTCTGGTGAAATGGATGCTGTGGTCGGGTAGGGAGGGGGTAGGGGTGGTAAGGACAACCGAGATCAAGGTGAAAGATAGACGCACAATGGTTCACCGGTACACTAAGCCTAAGACTCCCCACCTCATCGATGCTCCTCTTCATCTGCCCCCTAATAGGCACGTCGTAGAACTTGACCGTACAATCATTATTGCTGATCCCAATGCGGGGCTCCACGCTGCTCTCGTTGGACCTTGTAAGGCTCATGGACGTGAGCAGCACCGAGTTATTGATCGACCCCGTCATCGGGAACTCGGTCTGCCACACTGCCCCCGTATGTCGGTGGTGCCGCGCGGAAAGGGGCGAGTGGTAAGACAGGTGAATTTCGGCCTCCTGACCGCCCGCTGCGAGGAGGGTGTCCTGCGTGCCCTCGATAGGGAGGGAACATAGTGTGTTCGGGACGAAGGAGAGCTTGGCGAGGGGGCGGGGCGTCTAGGGGAAAAGGGTGGGTGAGGTCATGGGTACGGTGAGAAGGAGGGTCTCGTACGGAGTTGGGGGTGTTGAGGTTGTGTTCGACGATGGAATGGTGTTGCACGTAGTTTACGACGCCGCTTTCGCGGGGGCATATTATGAGATCTCGGAGCTGGCTAAAGAAAGGACCTCTGGTGAGCAGAGGAGATCTACGATCAAAGGAGTGGGCGGGGACTTACACATGGCCGATGAGGACGTTGGCGGGAGCAATGGCGGTGGGCGTCGTGGAGGTCAGCAGTGAGGCATCTCTTGCCATCGCGAGGATGAAAGAGGGCGTGCGTGGTGGTGGTAGATGTCAAGTGGAGGAGGAGGAGAAGAAGCTCCGCTGAGTGGCAAACTAAAGCGGGTAGAAGTGCAGTGATCACGTGTTGCGGTTACCACCGATCACTGTTGTCCGGGTTCCTGATCACTGCAGACCCTGTGGAAGTTCTTTTCTGCTCTTCGTTGAATAGAAAATGCCACAGAACTCGACGTGTGCGCTTGTAAACCTCTGATATCTTTACCTCGATCCCCTTGTCGCGTCGGTGTCCCCGAATTGCCGGATGAGTCGGACGAGATGATGGACTGCCTCTGAATCCTGGTGAGCGAATGCTGTTGTTCAGTTCAAAGGGAGCTATTCTGCACAGGCTTTTTGTTATACCTCATGAACCGAACGGAACAATGAGACCGACGGCCTTATCCTGGACTTACTGCGGAAAACGCCTCGAGGCTGGACGTCAAAGAACCTGTCCACATGCTCCTCAGCATGCACGACTTGAGCGTGGGGATCGCACGGCATGTGACATCGGTCGAGCCAAATGCCACTGGTGCACACTCGTATCCTGTGTAGCGTCGGCTCGCGTCCATCGTACACTTAATCGCTCTCACAACGAGCATCGCCAATGGGGAACTGAGATTTTTCTTTTACGTGCTCCTTCCAACTATCCACGCGTGGGTGGTGCCTTTCGTTATATGAACGGGCTCCATTGGCCTTGAACCCGGTCCCATGCTGCCTCTCCGCAGCGCAGATCTTCACTTCCCAGCCGTACTCCCCCAGGCTCTTTCGCCCCGGCCCCCAACTACTCCCCCTAGCCTTCGGCATCCAAGTCGCCTATGTAGCCGGCAATTTTCTTTCACTGCCGTCGATCGACAGTGACGTCCACGAGTAGCGGTGTCAAACGTCAAACTGCGCGTATCGGTTCACAGGAGATTGCCGTCGCTACTCTGAGTAGCGAGCTTCATGCAAATCAGTGATCACCATCCGTAGCTGTTTATCTATTTTAAACTCTCCCTTGGCCCCATGACCTCGTCGTTTTCCATTGCTCTTCGACCGTCAGCTTGACGCCATCCTCGGGGCCCGTGTCATGTTGTTGTTCTCTCCGTCAGGTGACTCCATAATGGCATCGTTCGCCAAGGAATTACGCCGGGCCAGGCGCCCACCGCAGAGATCTTCGGGCATCGCGTATTCTCAGGCGACACATGACGTCATCAAGGGATCGATACTGCGAGGCGACACACCGCTGTGGCGTCGTCGTCCCGTAGCCATCTCGTTATATATACCATCGCTCCCTACGAATACATCGTCGACTACTTCCACCAGGACTTCAAAAGGTCCACCAACTAAGCATATGAACGAATTCGCTCAGTCTGCAGCCAGCGATTCTCCGCTCTAAGCACGAAGTCTCGAGATTGAATGGTTAGTCTATCAATTTCCTATACAAACGGACGTGGACGTCAGATTCTCATTCGTTATTCAGCCACAGCGTAATTTCGTCCTTCTTTCTGAATGCGGTCAGTCCTTTACTCCATGATCAGCGTTACGTACACTAAACTCGACGTCGACAGCTGCCACTTCGGGCGCTGATACCACGGGCATCCCAATAAAGTTTGCCAACTGAGTAAGCCCCCATCCCCAGTCTTACAAACCCACCCCAAGCTCTTACTTAAACTCACCTTCAACACCCACCAACCCCATCCTCGTCTAAATGCCAGGAACCCACAAAGCCCTCTTCCTCACCGAGAAATCCGGCCCCTTCGCGGTGCAAGACACCCCAACGCCCACCCCCGGCCCCGGCGAAGTCCTCGTCCGCATCGAAGCGACAGGGCTCAACGTCATCGAGTGGAAAATCCAGCTCTACGGCGGCATCGGCACCGTGCCCCCCAGCTACCCCGCGATCTTGGGACACGACATCGCTGGCGTCGTGGTGGAACTCGGGGAGGGCGTGTCTGCTTTATCCAAGGGCGATAGGGTGTACGTCGTCTATTTGGGTGCGGTGTCTTTGGTGTTGGGAAACTGATGGGGAGGGATCGTAATTTGTAGATTTTATCAGGGGTCGTGGTCGAATGAGAAGACGGGGTTCCAGCAGTATAACCTCGTCAATGCTGAGTTCACTTCAAAGGTACATACATCCAGCCATCCTTCCTTACGCGTGTTACGCGAATTTTGACGCCCGGAAATGGAAGATCCCAGCAGGTGTATCCTTCGAAGACGCAGCGACCCTGCCATGTGCCGTCGCAGCAGCCGTCGTCGGGCTCTACTCCGAGAAGGGTAAGGGCGACGGCCTTGGCCTCACTATCCCCCTGGACGAGGGAGCAAGGGGCAAATACGCTGGACAACCCATGTTAGTCCTCGGCGGTGCTTCCTCCGTAGGACAAAGTGGTGCGTCCCCCCCACCCCTTTTCTTTCGTCCTTCTTTTGTAATGCCTTTACGGCGCAGTCATCCAATTCGCCCGCCTATCCGGGTTCTCCCCCATCCTCACCACCGCCTCCCCGCATAACGCCGCCCTCCTCAAATCCCTCGGCGCAACCCACGTCCTCGACCGGCACCTCCCCACCCCCGCACTCGCCGCCTCGATCGCTCAAATCACGGACGCGCCCCTCAAAATCGCTTTCGACGGTGTGTCTCTGCCGGAGACGCAGCAAGCGGGGTACGAGCTGCTCGCGGAGGGCGGGCACCTGGTGCTCGTCTTACCAGACGAAATCAAGAAGACGGAGGGGAGGAACGTCACGGCGGGTTTCATCTACGGAGTCTGGGAGCTCCCCAACGTGCGCGAGCTCGGTCTGGCGCTGCACCCGAAACTGGGTTCCCTACTGGAGAAGGGGCTGATCAAGGTACGTGTCCCCCCTCTTGGCTTGAGCGAGCGTGACGCAAATGTTTGTGGGTATAGCCGAATAGAGTGGAGGTGCTGCCGGGGGGGTTGGGGGGCATTGTGGGGGGGTTGGAGAGGTTGAAGGCGGGGGAGGTGAGTGCGATGAAGTTGGTTGTGCGTCCTTGGGAGACTGTGTAGGCTGTGGGAAGGGATGCTGTGATGGGTTTTGTTGGGTTTTGTGTCTTTGTAGCTTCAGGCCAGGTTGTGTGTATATCAGGTGTACAAAGATTGGGGACGGAAGAGTCTTGAACGCTGAGCGATGACCTTTTTCGAAGAACGTGCTTCGGTTACTGTTCCCCTTAAATTTGTGAATCCTTCATATGATATTGATAACCGTCTCAAGCAAATATCTGTAAGCAAACACGAAAACTACAACTCTCCAGCCTCAGCCAAAGGACAACTAATCCGTCACCTACTCATGTAGATCATCGAAACGTCGGCCTAGGAGCCTCTCCTTCATTTCCTGATTTTACAACATGAAAAACATTGTCCCTGGCAGGATTCGAGCCTGCGGCTTCTCGGAGCAGCACGCCACAACGAGATGATTTGACCACTAATCGACAGAGACTTGGCGGCGAAGTCCAGGCTTGACTCTTGAGCTAATCCCCTCCTACCGCCAGATACTGACTTACGGTGAACATCAAGAAAGAGTCGATTACACCAAAATCTCCACAAGACGGTCGAAGGCGGTTACCAGGGCATCGGTTTCCCCGAGAGACAGTGATAGAGCTCGATGTCGGAAGCCGCGACTTACGAGCACGGGTGACGGATTTCTCGTAGATATCACACAATCTTCCTATTCAAGCCAGTCGTCCAACTTCAAATGGAACGGGAACATGCATCTAAACGCGCCTCCTTCGCCTTCTGCATTGTATCCATGAACAGAACAACAATCCATCCATTCCACAATAACATCCAATAACAATACACCCACCCTCACTCAAATTTATACACTAGAAAAATCCATCAGTACAACTCCCTCTTCCAAGCAGGCTAAAAAAAAAAAGTACACACCACAAGCCCCACTACTAGGCCTCGTCGCAAAAACAACCTCACTCAACGCTTCACCCCGTAACCCCTTATACGGCTTGTACGTATCCCTAATCTGCTCAATAAACGACTGGACTTTATCCTCCGCCACGATCGACACCGTGCACCCGCCCCATCCCGCGCCTGTCTCGATGCCGTCAATGGCATGCACACAAGAGAGAGAGAGAGAGGGAACCACGCACCAGTGAGTCTGCTACCGTAAGCACCAGCATCAAGCGCCAACTGCGTGAGCTCGTTCAGCTCGGGACAAGAACACTCGAAAAGGTCTGCGCAGCTCGTCTGCGATTCGTTCATCAGGCGGCCGAGGCTTTCAAGTGGTGTGGTGCTCTCGCCCGCTGAGGCTGCCGCGACGTCCAGACATGTCTGTCGGAACTGGAGGACGCGGAGTGCTTCGGCATAGACGTGCTTGGCACGTTTGTATAGCTGGAAACGAGTCGCTTCGACTGCGGTCGCGTTACATCAGACGAGCAGCACGGGAACCACTGTAATTCACTCACCTTCGACCCAAGACAAGTACACCTCATGGAAGGTACCCTCCTCCAACCCACTCATCTCAACCATCTCCCGCATCGTCACCCCCATCTCCCCCCCATCCACCGCACCCTCCGGTCTCAGACCCTCCACCTCCCTCCCCATCCTCTCCAGCCCCTCCCGCAGCTCCCCAACACCAAGCTCCCGGCCCTCCCCCTCGCCCAAAAGCCGCCCCACCACCTCCCTCAAGGTAATCCGCTCCTTCTGGCCTACAGGCACGCCGAGCGCCCGGGCGAGGACTCGGGCACCGACGAGCGTCTCGACGACGCGGAGGTTGTACCCGCGTTTCGCACCGACTGCTTTGTCTGCTACGACGAGGGAGTTGGCGCAGACGAAGACGGAGCCGGCGGGGAGAGGCACGGGTGTGGCGTTGAGAGTGGGGAAGAAGGAGATGTAGAGCGCGGAGGAGGCGTCGGAGATGACGGAGGCCGCTTGGTCCATTCTGTCGAGGTGTGAGATGAAAACTTTAGAAGAGGGGACGCGTTTGGACATACCCTCCACTGTTCACGCCTAAGGCGAGATCATAAGTCGGTCAGCGGGTGCTTCGGGCACAGTATGATAAACCTTACCAACGCGTTTCTCGTTCTCCATAGACATCTTTACTAACTCGCCTTTCGTGAGATGGTGAACATCTTCGGAATTGACGCTGTTGGGCTGATCATCGAGCTAGATGCCATTGCTTTGAGAAGGATATCGACAGAAGTAAACACACCACACCAAACCTTTCCATTCACGGCTAAAAATGCAAGAGTGCTCGCAACGACCATCGCCGCACTCGACGACAGCCCAGAGCCCGCTGGGACTGACCCCGTAACCAACAGATCCACCGGGATCGGGTGCTTCGCCGTCTCTGCCGTGGATATATCAGACTTGAAGTAGTGTTCCAAAACTCCCTGTAATCCCATAAGATATTAAGCGATTGCATGAACTGTGAAAGCGGAATCATCGTACATAGTAACCCGCTTTGACATAGCTCTCCCATCTCAGTTCCTTGGTATTGATATCGAGGTGCCAGCCCTCGACGTGCACCTTATCCTCACCCACCTCGTCCGATAGAGACGCCTTCCTAGCGGGCGCAAAGATCTGCCGGGTATACTTTGCATGCAGATTCTCCGCGATCACACTCCCGGGTGAGTGGTGTGTTTCTTGTACGGGTGATGAAGCCGGAACGGGTCGAGGGCCGCACGCGATTAAGATGTCGCGCTCTATTGCTGCTGGCAGCACACCGAATAGTGCGTAGTCGATGTGTTCGCCTGCGATGGGCGATGCAAGTCAACATAGCGCATCGATATTATCTTAAGTACCAAGTAACCAACCTATCAGGCTTGAAGTCAAACCATCAGTAGTGCACAAGATATGACTTATCTCTCTATGGCTTACTTTACACGTCCCGGTGCTCTTGCGATATACGCAGGCTTCCGTCCAAACCTCTTCTGAAATTCTTCCGCGAGGTTGTTCCATCGTACCGCGTGGTTCAGCGATGTACCAAGGTTATCGTACAGAGCCGTGAGGTCCTTGTACACCGGTATGGGTCTTTCAGCAGCCATAGATGATAGTTCTTGCTGAGAACAAGACCTCAAAAACAGAAGTGCTCAGATCGATGGTGAAGGCGGCGCGGAGGCTCCGCCAACCGTTCATGTGACTGATGTCATCGGGCGCGAAACACAAGGTCCGCTGGAAAAATACACGTAGTACTCCCAGCTGTAGGGTGGCGCAGTATATGGCGTAGAACAACGAACTTGGCGTCAATATAATAAATTTGAACGTTGGACGGGTCCAAGGTTGAAAACGTGTCGCAATCGGAGCGCGGTCCGGCGTTTATTGACAATTGGGTGGGTGTGATTGGCTAGCTAAATTAGTTACCGGGTCCGGCATCGTCATCCTCGGAGTAGTTTCTTGGTACCCGAACAGCTGTCACTGCTGTCAATTTGTTTCTCTTGTCATTCCAGATTCTCTCGAACTGCCTAGCATCTATGTCTGATGGGAATTCCCCAACAACTGATCTAGGTTGGGCAAATGTTGGCCTGGGCTTCTCCTTCATTCTATTCGATGTGGTTGTCTCGACTTCGCTTGGTTTAGGGATCGAGCGGTCTTTGTTCACCGCGGCGGTGAGATGCGTTCTCCAACTAGCGGTCGTCGGCGTACTTTTACAGCAAGTTTTCGCGGCAAGGAACCCATGGGCCGTCGGAAGCATCGCGTGTAAGTTATCTTCAACAAGATTGGAGCCCATGAAGTTCATAGACGTGGCGTTTCAAAGTGTTGCTGAATCTCCTGGGAACTCTCGAAATTGGTAAGTCTATCGTCTAAACTGCCTATGGTACAGAATTCCGCTGAACACTCGACGACGAGTAGTTGCGAACAAGTCCAAACGACGGTATCAACATATGGTTCATGCCTCTTGTTTTCTAGCGGCGTTACGGAGGGACTTGACCTTTGTCCATCTAGTTCCCTTCTGTGCTCGTCGGCATGTTGGGATCCACTATACCCATCTCTATTATTGGCACTAGATTCGCGATGTCCGTCGAGCCATTCTGGGAACCCATTCAGTATAGTGCGGCCACATTACCAGCTATTGCCTTCGCGGCGTTACTGAACAGACCTTGCAGTTCCCATCGTTGGTATGCTTTGCGGTAGCACCATTTCTGGGATTGTAGTCTGTGTAAGCTATGTACTCAAGGAACTACAGTAAGTCCACCCGATTCACGGCCCTTGGCCTCATCGCATGCTAACTGTTGTCAGAGAGAATAGAGATAAGGTAGAAATGTACCTCGCGTTCGGAGCCTCCAGAATGGAGGCGTGTAAACCAATAGCCCGTGAAGCACTCAAATTAGCGCTCACACCCGTAATCAACCAGATGAGGTTCGCTTTTTTCCTCCAACGCCTCCTACGTCACACTAATCCGGCACACCAGCGTCCTCGGCATCATCGCCATTCCGGGCATGATGACGGGTGCCATCCTTGGAGGCACATCTGTCCAGCAAGCTGCGCGGCTGCAAATGATCATCATGTTCATGATCTCCTCGTCGACCACCCTTGCGTCCATCTTCACCACCATCGGCGTGATCACCGTCGCTGTCGACCTAGAGCATCGGGTGAGGAACGACCGGATCGATGAGCGGGCGTTTGGGATGTGGAGAGCGAAGGAATGGGCGCAGGATAGGATCGTTTCTTCATATAAGGGCCTTTCTTTGTGGCTGACGAGTTGGGGTCGAAGCGGTTCGGAGACGTCTGAAGGCGAGCGGACGCCTTTGCTTCTAAGTGGGAACACTTGAGGATATATTAAAGTCTGTCTACCACCGCCTTTCATTTTCTTGTTATCACGGACATTCATAGAAGACAAACATAGCGTCTTTTCAATAGCTTTTCCGATCTGCAAAGGCTATAACTAAGTCGGTGCTGTTGAATTTTCGAAACCCTCAGCATATCGCTTATAATGTGCCCACTACAGGACCTTCTTCGTCCCCCGATATTGATTATTCGCGCATAGGTAGGAGCAATACCACAGATCTAAATTCACACATGGTATAATTAACGAGGCATTTAATTGTACCAGGTGGGAAGGTAACCTGCTCAGGTGATCTTGTTCCCGGGAAAGGTTCCAAACATAGAGTGGGAAGCGCGATCATCATACAGCTTCTTCCGCGAAGAATAGAAAAGTAATCCAGAACGAACAACTTCTTCCCAAAGCACGGACGTTGCAATCCCACCAATTATGAGAGTGATTGATCACGAGCCTCACTGTGCACGTTCCTCTCTGTATCGCAAATACAAGTGTTTCGAATCATGACCAACGAGCTTGTCAGGTATCTCCTGCCTACGCGTCGATGTCGAGCAGCAAAGCCTTAACGACTGATCTAGGGTGGACGAATGTTGGCTTAGGCTTCGCCTTCGTGCTCTTAGATGTCCTCGTCTCCGCTTGTTTTGGTTTAGGCGTTGAGCGCTCGCTCTTCACCGCCGCCGTGAGATGTGTTGTACAGTTATCCCTCG